CAGCATAGCGCTAGGGCGGCTCTGCCTTACTCCTCTAGCTTAACATCTAAGGAGCCTTCAATAACGCAGTTTATTAGATAATTATCTCTATACTTTAGTCCCTAGGCTTCCCACCCCTAATGATCTAGCTGCTAACGTCCTACCTAACCTCGCGTACGACACGGCTCCGGGTCGACGGCGTGCTAACGGCGGCGCGGACTATTTTGAGAGGAGTCCCGCAAGGCTCCCCACTCTCACCAATACTCTTTATCCTGTTTACCTCATCGTTGTACAAGATCCGCAACGGGGCCGGGACAGGAGCGGCACATACCATGTTGTTTCGTATAGGGGTTTTTTAATTAACGTCGGTTCTATTAGAGTTAGCGGCTACGGCCCGGACCTAGCACGGAGTCGAGGGAAGGAACCTACGCGGCGCGGAGGCGGAAAAAATGGGCTTCTATATAACAGTTAGCTAGGAACCTATACAGAGCCGGGATAGGGGAGTATAGGAAGAGTAAAGGCAGGGGGAACGCTAGAAATAATAGAGTATATATAATTATTTAGGGTTAAAAGAGGGAAAAAGAAGAAGAAGAAGCCCTTAAGGGGCTACCTCTTCTAACCTCTTCAAATTAGCCTAGCCTAGGCACACGTGCTAGCGCTAGCACGCTATAGAGGTAAGGAAAGACACGCTAATAAACGAAGAAACGGGAGAGCCTGTGGGCAGCTAAGTAAGAGGCACGGGGCCGCCGCGGAACCGAGACATGACCTAAGCGCCTATCACGGCTATATAGGAACGCGTATAGCCGAAAAACGACGAATAAACGCTAGAACTAGTGCAAACAGAGAGATTATAATAACACGGCACTAAGGGGGTCCTGGCCCGGCTATAGGCTAGCCACACACCGCGTCCACACCTACTACTCCCCCTAGCCTAACGAGGCTCTAGAGAATACTAGACCTAGCACGGAGATAAACACAGGGCAGCACGTAGGTAAATAAGCTACTAACTCACTTACTTACTCACTTATACCTTTTTTAGGCTAATATAAGGAGGGGTCCTCTAACCAAACCCA